CGGTCTTGGAAGGCCAACCAGTCGCCCACTTTCGTGACAAACGGCGCGATGTGGGGTAACCGGCGCAGCCCCTGGCCGCGCGGTGCGGCGAGGTATGGAAGCCCCCCGACTCCCGCGGGCCACCCTGCAACCATGGCGTGGTGCGGCAGCGTTGCGGCCCCCATAGGCCACGCCGAAGACGCGGCAAGGTGCGGTGGCGCTGCGGCCCCCGTAGGCCACGCCGGAGACGTGGTGGGTGGCGGCAGACTCGCAGCCCCCATAGGCCACGCCGGAGACGTGGTGGGTGGCGGCAGACTCGCAGCCCCCATAGGCCACGCCGGAGACGTGGTGGGTGGCGGCAGAGTTGCGGCCCCCATAGGCCACGCCGAAGACGTGGCAAGGTGCGGTGGCGCTGCGGCCCCCATAGGCCACGCCGGAGGCGCGGCGGTATAACACGGCCCCGCGGTGGCCCCTGCGGGCCACCCCGCAGGCGCGGCGACGGATCGATCTGCAGCTGCAGCCACAGCAACCTCCCGCGATGCGGCGAGGGGCGGCGGCGTTGCGGCCTCCCCGGGTCACGCCGTAGATGCGGCGAGGTGTGGAGGCGCCACAGGACCCGCAACCCACCTGTCCGCGGCGCCATACGGAGCCGCGGTGCCTGCGTGCGTGCCTGTGGCAGCCTCCGCAGCCGCGGCAAACCTCCCGCGACGCGGCGTGGTGCGGCAGCGTTGCGGCCCCCGTGGGCCACGCCGGAGACGCGGCGAGCAGCGGCCGCGTTGTGGCCCGCCCGGGCCACGCCGTAGACGCGGCGAGGTGCGGAGGTGCAGCAGCGGGCGCCGCCCACCCCGCCGGCGCGGCGGGATACGGAGGCGCACTAGCGCCCGTGACCCACCTTGAAGGCGCGACGAGGTGCGGGCCCGCGGCATCGCCAACGGCCAGCCCCGCGGTCCCGCCCGCGTGCTGAGCCGCGGCCCCTCCCACAGACGCGACGAGGGCCGGCGGCGCTGCGGCCTCCGTGGGCCACGCCGCAGACGCGGCGAGGTGAGGAGGCGCAGCAGCGCCTGCGAGCCACCTCACAAATGCGGCAGTATATGGATCCGCGGCAGCATCCGCGGCCGGGCTCGCAGCCACGGCGAGGCGCGGAGCTGCGGCGGCGACATCCGCGGCAGCGACATCTGCGGCAGCGACATCCGCGGCCAAGCTCGCAGCCACGGCGAGGCACGGAGCCGCGGCGGCGACATCCGTGGCAGCGACATCTGCGGCAGCAACATCCGCAGCCAAGCTCGCAGCCACGGCGAGGCGCGGAGCCGCGGCGGCATCCGCAGCCGCATCCGCGGCAGCCACGGCCGCAACAATGGCTGCCGCTTCCGGCGTCGCAGCGGAAATTACGTCCGCTTGCGGCTCCCCCACCAACATGGCCGCCACCTCCGGCGGCGCATGAAAAATGGCGCCAACTTCCAAATTGGCGGGCGGGAAAACGGCGGGAATCCGCCGGTGCCACACGGAGTGTGGGCTGGGTGGGTGCGTCCGCGCTCCCACCTCTGTAAGGGCGGCGGTGAGCTGCTCACTCAACCGCAGGAGCAGCTGCGACCGCTCCTCGGCATCGCCCCCCGCCATCGGCGGTGGTGTGCTGGGACCCCCAGCCGCCGACACCACCTGCTCCGCCGAGTCCATCTCCACGGCGATGGACTGCCCCCGACGTCGTCAGCACTCTCCCGGCGTCCCGCCGGTGGATTCTTACGCCGCCCGCCCGATTTAGGCATAGCGACGGCAGCGTAACCACTCCTGACACCAGTTGTAAAAGAGTTCCCGACAACTCACTCGGAGGCTAAAGTAAGGTAAGGGCTTCCGCCAAGGTTTTATTACAAATCTTTAACAATACACAGGGGTGAACAACTCCCCAGGGGTTAGGGGTCCCGGGCTAGGTCCCGACACAGCCGGCTGCCCTGTGCTGTCTCCTCTGCCCCGGCCGTGGGATCAGCCAACACAGCCGACCGAGGAGCACAGCCACGTCTAGCCTGGCACTGTGCCCTCCCCTATCCCTACCCCCTTGCCCCTGGCTCCCCGTTCCACCCTTCTCCAACCCTACTCTCCAGCTACGACCCCGCTTACGTCACAGGGTCCCCCTTTTATCCTTGAGGAGCCGTGATGTCACTCTGCTGCCCCGAGCACATGACGTCACGTCATCGCCCTGGACAGCACAAGTGATGCCACTTCCCCATTCTACTCCTCTACACTGTTTTCAGATTGTCCGAAATCGGGGTGCTACTCTGATTAATGACGATTTTGTTAACGTCTAGTTTTGTTATATGTGGAACTGGGTTGTTCTTTGATGATGAACGCTCTGAACTCGCGAATTTAAAAAACAGAAGTGATATAGTCATCCTCTCAGCCGATAAAGGCAACGCTACTGTAATTATGGCTAAAGATTCATACATCAACAAAATCCAGAATCTGCTCAACGATGGAAGTTACTCAAAAATTAAAAATGACCCTACCAATAGCCTAGCGATAAAAACCAACAAGATCATCACAAGTTCGACCTCCCTAATCGACCCAACTAAACGTCCCTCCCTAAAACCTTCTGCTGCAAGACCCTCAAGATTCTATGGTCTTCCCAAGATTCATAAAGAAGGCACCCCACTACGACCCATCGTATCCACGATCAACTCCCCTACCTATAGACTAGCCCGTTTTCTGTCAGATACCTTGCTGCCTTTCACTGGCAAGACCGCCTCAGCAGTACTTAACTCAGCCCAATTGGTCTCTATGGTCAAAGACGTTGTACTGTCCCCTGACGATATCCTTGTCAGCTTCGATGTGGTCTCTTTGTTCACCAAGGTCCCAGTACCTGATACCATTGAAATAATTGAAAATTTGGTCCAACATGGACTAGACCCCGATACACCTGCACTGGTTAGGCACTGCCTCAACAATACCTACTTTACTTGGAATGGCTCCTTCTACAAACAAAATGAGGGTACCCCCATGGGATCCCCCTTGTCACCAGTGATAGCCAATATTTTCATGGAGAAATTTGAATCAGACGCCATCCAGACTTCCACCCTCAGACCTTCCCTGTGGAAGAGATGTGGATGACACTTTCGTCATTTGGCCACATGGCCTCCCAGCTCTGAACCTTTTCCTACACCACATCAATTCCAGACATCCCACCATCAAATTCACCATGGAAGTGGAGAAAGATGGCAAGCTACCATTCTTAGATGTTCTGTTTGAGAGGAGACCTGATGGCTCATTGGGGCATTCTGTCTACAGGAAACCCACCCACACAGATTCCTACTTGAAACCTGATTCCCACCACCACCCAGCCCAAAAGAATTCTCTCATCAAAACTTTATACCATAGGGCTCATTGCATTTCGGACCAACACCACCTGACCAGTGAATTGAAACATGTACACCTGGCCCTCAAAAGGAATGGATACACTGACCGTACCATCCGCCAAGCTGTTTCTCCCTCCATACAGAAACCACTTGATACTCCGGTCAAAACCATCACACTACCATATATAGCAGGCGTTACTAAAAAGATTTCCAAAATTCTAAACAAACACAAGATCCAGGTCCGGTTCAATACAGTACACAAAATTCGTGATCTGATCCCATCCGTGAAGGATGTCATTCCTGACTTACAGTACCCCGGGGTTTACAAATTGAGTTGTACCTGCGGTGATTGCTATATCGGGGAGACAAAGCGACATGTCTCTGACCGAATTCGCAAGCACAAATCAGATTTGAAACACGGCAAAACGAATTCTTCTGCCGTAGCTGATCATTGTTACAACGCTGTGGGTGATCACGATATAATTTTCTCCGATACCAAGGTTCTTTGCAAACCCACGGGTTTTTATCAGAGATTTGTTCACGAGTCAATTCAGATCTACAAACACAGACACAATTTCAACCGAGAAGATGGTTTAAAATTAAGCAACCATTGGAAAGATGTTCTAAATCGAACCAAACATTAAACTAATTTTCAATGGTACAGTATATTTTTCAAGTAGTGGTACCCCAAACTTTCGCAGCTCTTAAATTCCCTTTTCACACCATCAATAGGTAAACGCCCCCCCCACCCCGCGCCAACCGGCATGTGCACCCGCATGTACACCACCTCTATGCTAAGTCGGACAATAAAATGCTATTTTTTATGCTAATTCCTTTGTCAAGGCACCTTGTTTCCTCGCACACAGCTTAAAGGTCACGGTCTGAGCGTGGCTGTGTTTCACTGCAGCGCTGTCCTCGAGACAGCCTGATCCCTTCACCTGATGAAGGCCACTTGTGTTGTGGCCGAAACGTCGTGATTTTTGTTGTTTTATTTTTTACCTACGTGACTTTACCGAATAGAACCAAAGAGTATGGATCCTTGCAGTCACGAAAGCTTTAAATCGAAGATAGCACAGTAGGGAGCACAGGTGATGCCATTCATCTCAGTCAACCCATGGCACCTGGGTCTGTCCCGTGACCTGCAAACAGCAAGCCTTTGTTTGACACTGCACACTCTCGATTTAAAGCTTTCGTGACTGCAAGGATTCATCTTCTTTGGTTCTTTCGGTAAAGTCACGTAGAATGAGAATAAAATAATAAATTTATAAAATAAAATAACGCAATAATATTGTGTTATTTTATACGTGACTTTACCGAAAGAACCAAAGAAGACTGCACACTCTCTCGCACATACATACACGCGCGTACGTACACACATGCGTACGTACAGACACATACGTACAGACATGCGTACGACCACATGCACACCCATTTATAGGCAGCGATGGCTTTGGTGGAACCTTCATCCAGCAGTGTACTGATCATGGATTATTGATGGATGATTGATTAATTATTCTCATTTATGGATGATTTGATGATTGAATGATAAAGCTGATTGATGGATTATTGAATGATGATTGAATGATGATGATTGATGGATGATTATTGAATGATTATGGATGATAATTGGATGATGGATGACAGTCATATCTATAGGTGCCGTGTCTGTCCCCGCAGGAGTGAAGACGTTTATGCTGCGAGGAGACTTGAGCTCAGCTGAGAGAGCGAGAATCACCCACAGCGCTAATTCCTCCTCAACCACCATGGCGCTCCAGGCTGAGGGTGGTTGTGGTGGTGGTGGCGGTGTTGTGATTGGTAGTGATGGTGTCGGTGGTGGTGCTGCTGATGGTCGTGATGATGACGATGATGATGATGAAGCTGGCAGTGATGGTGCCTGTGATGGTGTGGTCAAGGATAACCCCACGACCCTGCAACCACTGCGGTTGTCATGGTTGATGATGGCGGTGGTGGTGGTGGTGGTGGCGTGGTTGTGGTTGGGTGGTAGTGGGGAGGGGAGTGGTGTGGGGGAGCGGCCCCCTGCTCTGATCTCAGTGATCATCGACGCGGGCAGCACGGGGACGAGACTGCACGTCTACACGTTCAGCCGCCCGCAACCTGGTAACGCCTCATCATCGCCATTGTCTCCATCATCATTGTCACCATCGCCATTGTCACCAACGTCTGTATCATCACCATCATTGTCGCATCATCATCATCGTCGTCGTTATCATTATCATCACTGTGATCATCATGAACATCATCATCGTTATTGTCACCATCGTCATCAACATCATTGCGATCATCAACACTATCATTATTATCATTGTCGTGACTGCCATCTATTCTACATCATCACCAACATGACCATCATCATCACCACCATTAATATTATTACTGCAACTCAATCCTGGTCGGCTTATCCCTATATCCCTCTCCAACACATCAAAAACACAGCTGCACTCACTGTATTCAACCTTCCCTACACGTCTCACTGCTCTCCTCTCCAACAACTTGCCCCCCCCCTCCTCTCTTCTCTAATTTCTTTAAACGTCCCTTCACGCTCCCTCCGATCTCAATATTCCCTTTTTTCTCACTGTTCCTTCACATCATTGCGCCCAGTCTCGCTTTCGTTCTATCTCTCTTGCCCCGTTGAACTGGAAAAAAGCTCCCTCATATTAGACTCTTACCCTTGCTTTCCTCATTTCACTCTGCCCTCAGGTGCTTTCTCTTTTCTATTGCTCTTTCTCTTCCACTGCCTCCACCTCTACCAGTGCCATCCCCCACCTCTAACCCACTCCAATCCCCTGGTCTTATTCCTCCTAGGACCCTAATTCCTGTCCCGGCTCTCACGTCTCGCTTTCTATATGTGCATCTAACCACATCTCTCCTCCAGCCCTCTGCTGTGCTCCTCAATCAGCTCAACTATCCGGCCATCAGACCTCTGGCCCTACCACCCTTCACCCACCCTCATCCATACCCAGACATAGCACCTATCTATCATACCACTTCATGCATGTGCCCAATACCCCGCTCCCTCTCATCCACATTGCACCCATCTGTCACCCTCATTCACCATCACACTCCACCTTATTCCTTCTTCCCTACCCCTACAACATCAACTCCATTCCCAGGTCCTGTCCCTCCATCCCTTGTCACCTCCTCATTGACAGCTGCTCCACCTCACCCGTTGCTCCCCTTTTTCCCTTTGTGTACCACCATCAACTTGTGTTGTACATTGCCCTGGAAAGGGCGCTATATAAATCCTAAATAGAATAGAATATCACCTCCACCATCATCACCATTATTATCACCACCATCATCACCAACACCACCATCATCATCATGGTGATCGTCAATAATGACAGCAGTGGCGGTGTTGGTGGTAACGTTGGTGGTAACGTTGGTGGTAACGGTGGTGGTAACGGTGGTGGTAACGGTGGTAATGATGGTAACGGTTGTGGTTGTGGTTATGATGTAAACGATGGTAATGGTGGTGGTAACGTCGGTAACGGCAGTGTTGGCCGGCTGTGTGCGTGGTGCAGGGGGGCGCCGCATGGTGCTGCAGGGCGAGGAGTTCCTCTCCGTGGAGCCGGGCCTCTCTGCCTACGCCAACCACCCCGAGCAGGTGTCACTCACTCACTCGCTCGCTCACCTGGTCACTCGCTCATCCGATCACTCACTCATCCGCTCGCTTACCCGGTGACTCACTCCCTCACTCACCCGGTCACTCACCCAGTCACTCACTCACCCGGTCACTCACTCGCTCACTCACCCGGTTGCTCACTCGTCTGGTCACTCACTTGCTCATTCACTCGCTCACTTGCTCGCTCACTTACTCGCCCGCTCACTCGCTCGCTCGCTCACTTGCTCACTTACTCTGTTTCTCTATGTATCTCGTCTCCTTGTGTATCTCTTTATCCCTATTTGTGTGTCTTTGTGTCTCGGTGTGTGAGTCTCTCTGTGCGTGTCTCTGTGCTCGTGTGTCTCTGTGCGCTGGTGTCTGTCTGTGTGCCTTTCTCTAGGTCGACTCAGTCTCAAATCAGTTCTGACCTTCATAGGCACTACTCGCTAACAGCACTTGCCCCAACAGTCTGTTAAGGCTACAGGGGGATCTTTGTCTTTCGTGTATGAGAGGGGGTGGGTGGTCAACAACACGCCCAACCGTCTTTGTATCCCCAGTGCTGAATATTCACATCACCACCCACCACTTCGTGTGCTTTGCCGACCTTCTTAGGTGCTGCGACTCACTAGCAGCACTTGGCCCCAACAGTCTGTTAGAGGCTACACGGAGGACCTTGGTCTTTGTGTATCTGTGTGTCTGTGCACGCGTGCGCAGTGCAGGGCGTCTGTGCGCTCGCTGCTCGCAGTGGCCCGGCGCCACGTGCCGCCCACGCTGTGGTCCTGCACCCCCCTCTCCCTGCGTGCCACCGCGGGCCTCCGCTTGCTGGCCCCACACACGGCACACGCCCTGCTGCAGCAGGTGACTCCCTGGTATCCGCACGCGATCTCCCCAGTATCCGCACGCCGTCTCCTCGGTATCCGCACACCGTCTTTCTGGTATCTGCACACCATGTCCCCGGTATCCGCACAGTCTACCCGGTATCCGCGCCCCACCTCCCCGGTATCCGCACGCCGTCTCCCCGGTATCTACATGCTGTCTCCTCGGTATCCACGCGGTTTCCCCAGTATCCGTTCACCGTCTCCCTGATATTCGCATGCCGTCTCCCCAACATCTGCACACTGTCCCCCCAGGCGAGGGAGGAGCTGGAGTCGTCTCCGTTCCTCATCTCAGATGTCTCCATTATGGCCGGCAGCGACGAGGGTAGCAGACGCGTCGTTTCACAACTACGACCACTACAGCCATTACAACCACCATAACCACTACAACCACCATAACCACTACAAAAACAACCACAACCACTACAACCACTACAACCACCACAAAAACCACCACAAGCACTACAAGCACGACAACCACAACAACCACTACAACCACAAAAACAACCACAAGTACTTCAACTACTACAACCACTACAACCAATACAACCACTACAGTGACGAGCGTGGAGGACTCGTCATGCTACAACTACACAACAACCACCACAACAACCACAATCACCACGACAGCCACCACTATAACAAAAACCATAACAACAATCTCCATCTTAACAATTACTTCTAGGATAGCAACAACCACATTAATACTATAGTTACCCAATAATTTCAGTGTGTAACGTGCGTGACATCACTTCACGTCGACCAGCCCCCCTCATTAATAATCATGAACAGGTTACGTCCTCCACATGGACCCCCCCCTCATTAATAATCATGAGCAGGTGATGTCACTCTACATCGAACAGCCCCCCTCATTAATAATCATGAACAGGTGACATCCTCCAAATGGACACCCCCTCTCCATTAATAATAATTAGCGGGTGACGTCACTCCACATGGGGGGGGGGCGAGGCACTTCCTCCCCCCTCCTCACTGTCAACTTATATCCCTCACTACAAAGGCAGAACCCTCCGTCACACGATCTCCGTAACGTTATTGAGACTTAGACGTAAAAAGGACGTCATGATGAACCAAGGGATTATAACCTTTAAATGAAATAAGTCTGTGTCACCGCGGCCTTACAAATTGCACACGAATGGTTGCAATGAATATCACGTCGCGGTATGCTTTTTGCTTCCAACTATCAGATTTACTGCAATACACCCGTCCTTGGACGGGCAAAAGGCTGGTCAATAATAACAATAACTACAACTCCCAAAAATAAAAATGCAACATCACGTACAACTGCTACAGTTATGATTATTAAACATATATGGTGATGATGGCAATGGTAATGATGACGTAAAAGTGATTGTGACGGTGATTGTGGTGATGACTACGATGATGACAATGATGATGATTGTGATGGTTATTGTGGGGATGACAGTGATTATGACAGTGATGATGGTTTTGACGAGGCGAACGATGTGGTGATGTCCAATTCCGATCTCCGTACCCCTCTCAGCTCTGCTTGCCTGGGTCACGATCAACCTCCTGAGAGGTACCGCCCACTCAACACCACACTCACCACCACGCTCACCGTCTACGTTAAAGATCCCATGGCATCGTTACTTAAGAGGCCGCCATTGCATGCCACTGTGTGCGACTGGTATATTTTTTTTAAATTTGCCAAATTGTGTGTGGTTTCTCCCCCATGCACCTCGGAGTCATCCCCTCTCTCTCTGCTTGCTCTATCTCTCTCACTTGCTCTCTCTCTTTCGCTCGCTCGCTTTCTCTGTGCGAGAGCGTGGTGGTGCCGCCAGCGCCTGCCCAAGCTGACTCAGCCTCAAATGAGTACCTGGTGCAGTGCGTAAATATCGCCACTAGGGAGACAAATGCAGCCAGGCGTGGTGCTGGCCACCCACACCCCTCGTGTGCCGTGCCTGACTTCATAGGTGCTACTCGTGAACAGTACTTGCCCCAACAGCCTTTTTAAAGGCTATACGGTTCATCTTTGTCTTGGTTTGTTTGCCTCTTAACTGTCATTCTTATATACGTTATTTTTAGTTTTGTTGTTCGGTCAGAGACACTTCCTTAGTCCGTGCTGCTCTCCAGTTGGCTGGTTGAAAAATCCTGGCCAGCTGGCTCAAACACTTAATAAACTACTAGCATACAGACTCGTAGAGATATATAGACACTCATAGAGATATATTTAGTTTTAGAGATTCATAGAGATGCATAACTACTCGAAGAGATGCATAGAGAATGGGTGAAAAGTGGGCAAAGTTTTGCCCAATTCTGGCCAGCTGGCTCAAACACTTAATAAACTGTACAGTGAGGGAAAAAAGTATTTGATCCCCTGCTGATTTTGTATGTTTGCCCACTGACAAAGAAATGATCAGTCTATAATTTTAATGGTGGGTTTATTTGAACAGTGACAGACGGAATAACAACATAAAAATCCAGAAAAAACACATGTCAAAAATGTTATAAATTGATTTGCTTTTTAATGAGGGAAATAAGTATTTGACCCCTCTGCAAAACATGACTTAGTACTTGGTGGCAAAACCCTTGTTGGCAATCACAGAGGTCAGACGTTTCTTGTAGTTGGCCACCAGGTTTGCACACATCTCAGGAAGGATTTTGTCCCACTCCTCTTTGCAGATCTTCTCCAAGTCATTAAGGTTTCGAGGCTGACGTTTGGCAACTCGAACCTTCAGCTCCCTCCACAGATTTTCTATGGGATTAAGGTCTGGAGACTGGCTCTGCCACTAAAGGATCTTAATGTGCTTCTTCTTGAGCCACTCCTTTGTTGCCTTGGCCGTGTGTTTTGGGTCATTGTCATGCTGGAATACCCATCCACGACCCATTTTCAATGCCCTGGCTGAGGGAAGGAGGTTCTCACCCAAGATTTGACGGTACATGACCCCGTCCATCGTCCCTTTGATGCGGTGAAGTTGTCCTGTCCCCTTAGCAGGAAAACACCCCCAAAGCATAATGTTTCCACCTCCATGTTTGACGGTGGGGATGGTGTTCTTGGGGTCATAGGCAGCATTCCTCCTCCAAACACGGCGAGTTGAGTTGATGCCAAAGAGCTCCATTTTGGTCTCATCTGACCACAACACTTTCACCCAATTGTCCTCTGAATCATTCAGATGTTCATTGGCAAACTTCAGACGGGCATGTATATGTGCTTTCTTGAGCAGGGGTACCTTGCGGGCGCTGCAGGATTTCAGTCCTTCACGGCGTAGTGTGTTACCAATTGTTTTCTTGGTGACTATGGTCCCAGCTGCCTTGAGATCATTGACAAGATCCTCCCGTGTAGTTCTGGGCTGATTTCTCACCGTTCTCATGATCATTGCAACTCCACGAGTTGAGATCTTGCATGGAGCCCCAGGCCGAGGGAGATTGACAGTTCTTTTGTATTTCTTCCATTTGCGAATAATCACACCAACTGTTGTCACCTTCTCACCAAGCTGCTTGGCAATGGTCTTGTAGCCCATTCTAGCCTTGTGTAGGTCTACAATCCTGTCTCTGACATCCTTGGAGAGCTCTTTGGTCTTGGCCATGGTGGAGAGTTTGGAATCTGATTGCTTCTGTGGACAGGTGTCTTTTATACAGGTAACAAGCTGAGATTATGAGCACTCCCTTTAAGAGTGTGCTCCTAATCTCAGCTCGTTACCTGTATAAAAGACACCTGGGAGCCAGACATCTTTCTGATTGAGAGGGGGTCAAATACTTATTTCCCTCATTAAAATGCAAATCAATTTATAACATTTTTGACATGGGTTTTTCTGGATTTTCTTGTTGTTATTCTGTCTCTCACTGTTCAAATAAACCTACCATTTAAATTATAGATTGATCATTTCTTTGTCAGTGGGCAAACGTACAAAATCAGCAGGGGATCAAATACTTTTTTCCCTCGCTGTATGCATGTGTGTGAGTGGGGAGCAGTGGCGCAGCGGTTAGCACGGCTACCTTACAAACCCCGAGGCCCGAGTTCGAGCCCCACTCACGGCTACCACCAACACCGGTGACGATTTATCTCAACTCGTCCTGGGCCTCTTCTTTGTCGACTCAGCCTCAAATGAGTACCTAGTGCAATGTGTAAACATCGCCAACTGAGGGAGACAAAGGCGGCCGGGCGTGGTGCTGTGGCCACCCCACACCCCTGGTGTGCCATGCCAGTCTTCATCGGTGTTCGCTAGCAGTGCTTGCCCCAACAGTCTATTAAATGCTACACGTGGAACATTTGTGTGTGGATGAGTGGAGAGCTGTGTCACTGCTGCTGTTTGCTGACAGCACTTGCTCCAGCAGATCTGTGTGGACTAAACGGGGGACCTTTGTGTGTGTCAGGGGTCCTGTTCAACGCACCGCGGGGAGACACCGCTGGGATCCTGGACCTGGGGGGTGGATCAACACAGATCACGTTCCGGCCTCACAGCAAGGTCTCAGCAGCTGCATCATCAACAGTAGCATCATCAGCAGCGTCATCATCAATAGCATCATCATCTGCATCGACAGCATCATCAGCAGCAGCATCTTCAGCAACAATATCATCAGCATCTTCAGCAGCAACATCAACATCATCAGCAGCAGCAGCATCAGCAACGGCATCAGCAGCAACAGTTTCAGCAGCAGCAGCATGAGTAGCAGAATCATCAGCAGCAACAGCAGCATAATCAGCAGCATTATTTTTAGCAGCAGCATCAGCAGCAACAACATCCGAAGCATTAGCAGTATTGGAAGAAACAACAGCAGTATCGTTATTAGCAGCATCATAATTGTTATCTGCAGCTTTGTCATCATCAGCAGCAGCGTCATCAGCAACGTCAGTGTCATCATTATCACCAGCAGCAGCAGCAGCAGCGTCATCAGAAACATCAGTGTAATCATCAGCAGCAGTAGCACTCGTCTCCCTGCACCCCCAGATCAGCTCTGACGCGCCCCCCCAAGATTTCATGGTGGAATTTCACCTGGCTCCCACGACCTTTAACCTCTACTGCCACAGGTGCGTTCTCGCGAGTCGTCGCCACGTCAGGTGGTGAGGGGCACCTCATGGTTCATAAATAAAAGGGCGCTGCGGTGGTGAGATGTTAACTACCTTAACTACCTCGCTTGGTATGCAGGAGGTCGTGGTTTCGATCCCGACTAATGCCTGCAGCATATTTGGAGTTTGCGTCGCTCTCCCTGTGGTTACGTAGATTTTTCTTCGGGTCCTCCGGTTTTTCCCTCCATATTTAGAATCGCCATCACGCATTTATAGTATTTGGCTGCAATAAATTTCCATGATAAGCCACTTCGTTGGGCTATCACTTGCAGTCAGGTTGCTTCTGAAAAAGAGCTAAACAGGTTAGTGGGCCTTACCTGGTAAAATCAAAAATCGTTATAGTTTATAGTTATATTTAGTTATGGCAGGGTTGGAAACACACCTACGCTGTAGACCGCTCGAAGCCAGGACCTCAATGGTGGGGAGTCGGCCATTATGAACCTCATGGTAGAGCGAGACACACTCAGGGCTTCTACATAAACTTGACACTGGAAACGATGTATCTCTTTATCTCTGTCTATTTATCTCTCTCTGTCTCTGTGGTTCTCTGTATATCACTACGTGTCTCTATAGGTCTCTGTATCTGTATGTCTCTATGGTCTCTACGTATCTTTATGTGTGTCTCTGCATATCTATGTGGTTCTCCGTGTATCTCTACGTGTTTATGTGGGTCTTTGTGTATCTATGTGTCTCTACGTGTCTGTATATAACTATGTGTGTCTGTGTATATCTATGTGTATCTATTGTTTTTTTGTCTAAGTGCCTGCACGTCACTGTTTGTGCATGTAATTCTATGCAGTACCATATTTCTACATGTCTGTGTGACTCATCTGGAAACTTTCCCATCGGTCAGCTCCCTCCGCCAGGCGAGGCTGCATTGCCTGGGTCATAGAGGGGGCTAATTGGGTGCAGCACGGGCTAGAGAAGAGATGGAGTGATGTGGTACAAGAGGATGTGGAGCTGAGTAGACTTGCCGATGACCGGTACCAGTCGTGTCAAGATCAGCCTCTGTGGAGAAGGCTCGTGAAGGATGCTAATGGTCAGTTGGAGGCAGTCGCCCTCCAGCAACAACGGAGGGCAGAGGAGCAACACTCACAACAACGAGCGGAGCGCCAGGCGGCTTAAACATAGCAAGTTGGCACAGTAGGGGGCACAGGTGGTGCCATTTATCTCAGTCAGTCAACCCATGGCACCTGGGTCTGTCCCATGACCTCCTGCCAGCCTGCGTTCAACAATTCACGTGGCCTTAAAGTGCACATAGCCTGGCACAAGCGCCGTGGTGACATCACCGCCACTTAGTGGTGAATGGCGGTTGTTGTTGTGTGTGTCTTCCCAAAGCTACCTAGGCCTGGGCCTCATGTCTGCACGTCTCTCCGTGCTGGGCGTGGAGGAAGGTGCTGCCGGTGAGCAATGCTATGAGCGTGTGCTGTGTGTATGTGCTATGTGTGTCTGCTATGTGTGTGTGTGTGTGCTATGTGTGTGCTATACGTATGTGTGTGTGTGCTATGTGTGCGCTATGTCCGGCAAAACAACCCCCTACCTCCTCGCGGTGCCGGACGGGCAACTCTGTCGTGGACAGTGCTGTGGGGGGAGGGCAAATTCCGATTGGCTCCTCCCCTCATGGCATCTGTGACCACCACAGGGGCTAAACGGGGGATCTGGACGGAAGCGAGGGGCTAGTAACCCCTCCACCTTCAAAAATTGACCACTAAACCACGTCTAAAATATCTAACTAATAAGCTTGTGCCGGAGGCCCCGGGGGGACAGGCGTCTATGACGTCTCCTGGCCAAACCCCAATTGGCGGAGCCAGGAGATTGAATCTTCTTCGTGACTTACTTATGCCCCCACCCATCTCTACCCGAGGGTAGAGATTGAATCTCTACCCTCGGGGCCCCTCAAGAAACAACGAAAAGCCACTTCGTGTGGCCACGTGGAATGTTCGAACGCTCACTGCAGAGGAGAGGCTGCCACTCCTCTGTCGGGAGCTGGACCGGTACCGCCTGGATCTCTGTGGCATTCAGGAGGTCCGGTGGACCGGTTCTGGCTCCTGCCACCATGAGGGGTGGACAGTCCTCTACTCGGGGCAGCAGACTGCCAAACAACAGGATGTGGCTCTTCTTTTGAACAAAAGAATGAAGGGGGCGTGGGAGCGTGGCGGTGAGGTGTGGGAAGCTGTAAGCCCCAGGCTACTTTGGGCTCGCCTTCCCATCAACCAGAGGCGAGGAGTGGTGGTCGTGGTTACTTATGCCCCCACCGAAGATGAACATCCGTGGAGGGATGCAGGCAAAGCCAATGAGTCAGATGCCTTCTATGACCTCCTGTCACAGCTGCTGGCTAAAGTGGTCCCTTGGGATAGAGTCATCTTGTTAGGTGACTTCAATGCCCGAGTTGGTCATGATGCTGGCACCTGGTCTGGAGTGATTGGAGGGCATGGGCCAGATCAGCTCAATAACAACGGTAGGAGGCTGCTAGATTTTTGTGCAGCCCATGGGCTTGTTATTACCAACACGCTGTTCCGGCATCGGCGCATCTACACAACAGCATGGATGCATGCCGGGTCCAAGCAAGAACATCTGCTGAACTACATAGTGACGGACCAGCGGATGCGAGCCCATGTCCTTGATACCAGGACCTACTGTGGAGCTGATCTGCCCTCTGACCATCAACTAGCCATCTGTAAGATGCACCTGCCATTCTTCCACTCCGGTGGTGGGTGTACACCCAGGACCCCATTCCAACCGAAAGTGGCCTGGTCTCAGTTATCTGATGAAAGTTGCAAGCGAGAATTTCATCATCGCTTGCAGCTGGGGTTGGCATCGTCCCCCACCCCACCTGATGTCGAGGGTAAATGGGCGAGGTTTAGGACTGTCACTCATGCAGCTGCAATGGCTGCTTTGGGTACGTGGTCCAGACCTCCCCAGAGACCCTGCCTGACAGAGGAGGTGTTCAGGATGGTTGAGAAAAAGCGACAGGCCCACTGTCATGGGCTACAGAATCCCACATCAGAGAATGAGGAGGCTTACCGCAGCCTTCGCTCGGAGGTTCAGAGAGCCGTGAGGCGCTGCAAGGATGGGTGGTGGTCGCGGGTTGCTGAGGAGATGGAGTCTGCCTCAGTGGCCCGTGATCACAAATCTCTATTTAACTCCATCAAAAAAGTTACCTCCAGTGCCACACCTATTACCATCAATAGGGGAAAAAACGGTGATCCAATCTCCGACCCCCAGGAACAGGTTTGCAGATTTGCTGAGCATTTCTGTGAGGTCCTGGGGGAGGGGAAATCCTTCAGCCTGAAAAACATTGTGGGACAAAGTGGGGATGACCCTGCTGAGGCTGCGGTGCCTCAAATATTGGAAGAAGTCACCCCCTGTGAGTGGCTGGCTGAGGTGCCATCTGTTGAGGAAGTACTGAAAGACGATCTGGAGTCTGAGACCAGGAAAGGCACCGGGTAGAGATGATCTCCCAAGTGAAATGCTGAGGGAGGGTGGCTTTTGTGCACAGACTGCCCTATATGACATCATAACAACAATCTGGACCAATGGGCGGGTTCCGCAGGATTGGAAGGATGCCCTGGTGGTCCCCCTCTTTAAGAAGGGGGACCGCACAGACTCTAACAACTACAGGGGCATCTCACTCCTCAGTGTGCCGGGAAAGGTCCTGGCAAGGATTATTCAACATCGCCTTGCCAGGCACGCTGAGGAGAGGCTTGCGGAGCCCCAATGCGGTTTCAGGAAAGGGCGGTCCTGCACAGATGCCATATTTTCTGTCCGTCTGCTACAGCAGAGGTATAGGGAATTCCAACAAGACCTACATCTCTGCTTTATTGACCTGGTCAAGGCCTATGATACCATCAGTAGACCTGGGATCTGGGTTGTTCTTCATGCTTTTTGGAGTCCCTGACCCTCTGCTCACGATCATTAAGGACCTTTATGATGGTGAGCGGGCCCGCCTAAAACTACGTGGCCGGGAGTCAGAGCCATTTCCTGTACACCTTGGGGTGCAACAGGGATGTCCTCTGGCTCCCACATTATTTAACATCTATTTTGACCACGTAGTTCATGAAGCCTTCAATAGCTGTACCGGGGGAATCTCCATTTGGTACAGATATAATGGGAGGCTGATCGATGCCTGGGTGCGGTCAAGGGATGGCTCCCTATTGCTCAACCACATTTTGTATGCCGATGATTTGTTAATAGCTGCTCATTCAGAGGAGGAGTTAGAGACGCTGCTGCTGAGACTGGAGCATGCCACTAAGAGATGGGGCCTTACCATCAACCCCACCAAAACTAAGCACCTGCCTGGGTATTTTGTACCATCGGACACTCCACCCCCACAACTCCCAATCGGTGATGGGACAGTTGTGGAGAGAGTGGAGAGTTTCCCATTCCTGGGCAGTGTGCTTATGACCGGCTCCAGTTTAACAGCAGAGGTCTCACTCCGAATCAGTCGAGCGGCAATATCTTTTCATCGGTTGCGTAACGCTGTGTGGAAGCTACCTGGTCTGTCGCTCCGCACTAAGCTTCAGGTCTTCTCGGCCACGGTCATTCCCTCCCTTCTCTACGCTTGCGAAACGTGGACCCCCCTAATGGAACATCTTCGCCGGTTAGAAACATTTAGGCTATCCTGCCATCGATCCATCCTGGCTTTAACCAGGCTGGATTGTGTGAGGAGCTCACAAATCTTTGAAAGATCTGGGCAAGGTCCCATTGGTGAGCTCTTCCAGCAGGCAAGGCTGCGTTGGCTGGGTCATGTAGCCCGCATGCCCAGCCACCGCATGCCGAAACAGCTTTTGTTCAGCCGGATCGAGGGGGCTAAACGGGCGCGGCACGGGCTAGAGAAGAGATGGAGTGATGTGGTACAGGAGGATGTGGAGCTGAGTGGACTTGCCGATGACTGGTACCAGCGGTGTCAAGATCGGCCTCTGTGGAGGAGGCTCGTGAAGGATGCTACTGGGCAGTTGGAGGCAGTCGCCCTCTTAACAACAATGGAGGGCGGAGGAGCGACGCTCACAACAACGAGCAGAGCACCGGGTGGCTAAAGCACAGCAGTTTGGCTCAATAGGGGGCACAGGTGGTGCATCAGCTAGTCATCTCAGTCATCTTAGTTTAACACGTAGGCTTCTTCGCGACCAATATTATTCATAATAAAGGTTTTTGGTTAGATCGCGTTTATTTATAAATGTGTCGTAACCCTCCACCACCCGACACGGCCAATCAGCAAAGAAAAGTGTCACGTTTGACAAAAGACAAATAATTCACGACTTCAGCCACCGGTGTGTTGAAGAGTTAATCCACATTTACAGTTTGAGAACGACGTTCGTGGTAAAATACTTCCAGCATCATCGGGCAATTCGCCAGAATGGTAAAGCCCTCGCTTGCTCCCGGTTTTATTAGAGCAGAAGAGTGACGTCATCACTAACTCATCAGGTGCAGTGATTAGAGGCGGAGGGGGGGGTAATGTAATTATATAATCGATTAGTAATCAGTCATTGGTTATGATTAGTAATGAGTTGTATAGATTAGTAATTCTTTAAATCAAAATGTAATGTGTATATTTAATAATACGCTTCCAGGCCGCACTAAGCCGGTAGCTGTCAGAGCGATTAAAGTTATTACTTGTTCCTCTCAATTTCAATGGATTCTCTAATTAGTCTTTGCCAGTAATATTAGTTTTACACACCACTGCAACATTGTCAAAATCAATTGGAGTGTCCTTGTTGACAAGCATGTCTGCCACTGCCGACAGTTGTGTTTGAGATAATTTAATATTTCTCTGATGTTCTTTTAGTCTTACGCTGATGTTACGTCCCGTCTGCCCAATGTAGCAGCTGCCCACATGAACAATTAATCCGATATACACCTTCTGTGATAGTTTAGGTAATGCGTACTTTAGTGCAAGATACTAGTTTTTGAATTTTGTGTACTGTACCAAATCTTACTGTAATGTTTTGCTTTTGCAAAACGCGGGCTAATTTGTCAGTTACTCTGAGATATATGGAATTTTTATTGTTTTAACAATCTGGTCGCTTTCAGTAGTATTGCTTTGCGATCGTGATTTGGCAGCTAGTCATCTCAGTCATCTTAGTCAGTCGACCCGTGGCACTTGGGTCTGCCCCGTGACCTCCTGCCAGCGGGCGTTCGACACTTCACGTGGCCTCAAGGTGCACATGGCCTGGCACAAGCGTCGTGGTGACGTCACCGCCACTTAGTGGCGAATGGCGGTTTTTGTTGTTGTGTGCGCTATGTTTCTGTGTGTGTGTGTGCTGTTTGTGTGTGCTATATTTGTGTGTTATGTGTGTGCGCTATGTGTGGGTGTGTGCTATGTGTATGTGATACATGTGCATGCTGTGTGTATGCTTTCTGTATATATGCTGTGTGTATGCTATGTTTACATATGCTATGTGTATGCTGTGTGCATGCTATGTGTATATATGTTACATGTGTGTTGTGTGCTATGTGTGCCGTGTGGGTAGTGGAGGCCGGAAGGACGCTGCACTCCCCGTGTTTGCCATCCACGTTCTCCGGACTGTGGACCAACAATGGCATCGAGTACCACGTGTCTGGGGCTGCCCTCGAAGGTGACGCACACAGCCCGACCTCCCTGCCCTCTCTTCTTTCCCTGCCCAGCCCTCCTTGCCCTGCTGTCCCTGCCATCCTGCCCTGCCTATTGTATCACCTATTGTCTGCACTGCCTAATGTACCACCTATTGTTTGTATCACCTATTGTACCGCCTATTATCTGCACCACCTATTGTATCGCCGATTGTCTGTACCACAGATTGTACCACCTATTATCTGCATTGCCCATTGTGCCGCCTATTGTTTGCACCACCTCTTGTCTGCGTGGTCTATTGTCTGCACATATTGTGTACCATCCGTTGCCTGCCTCGTGTGTCACAGAGTGTGGGTACGAGAGCTGCGCTGGGCGAGTTCGACTCCTGCTGGGCCACTCCGTGCACCGGCCCCAGGAGTTGGGGTCGCACTCCTTCTACGCCTTCTCCTACTACTACGACCGCGCCGTCGACAGCGGCCTAGTCGGTGGGTGGGCCTGCCATGGGAATGTAGAGTTTCCACCAGCTGGAAACCCCCCGCATGGCCATTGGGAGACCTGGGAACTTCTAAATAAACTATACTAAACATTTTTTTATTGTACTAGGTAAGGCCCACTGAGCTATGTAGCTCTTTTTCAGAAGCGACCTGGCTATTACAAATGATAGCTCAATGAAGTGGCTTATTACGTGGAAATTTATAGCAGACAAAATGCTCTAAATGCATGATGTTGATTATAAATGTTGGAGGAAAAAATCGGAGGACCCAGAGAAAAATCCACACGACCATGGAGAGAGAGACATACAAACTCCAAATATAAAGCAGGCATCGGGATCGAATCCATGACCTCTTATATATCAGTCGAAGACATTAACATCTCACCACCGCGCTACCCCCCGCCCGACCCCCCATCTGTATATTTGGAGTTTGCATCTCCCTTTCTGTGGTTGGGTGGATTTTTCTCCGGGTCCTCCGTTTTTTTCCTCCAACATTTAGAATCAATAGAACACATTTAGGGGGGTGAGTGCGATACCAGTAAGGCAGGGAGAGGGATGGGCTCAAATGAACTTGACTTTGGTGATGGCCACTAGCTAATGGGATGTGGAACGTCATGTCACTGGGGGCGAAGGAGCCAGAGCTCGTGGAGGTGGTGGAAAGATACTGACTAGATATCATCGGAATCACCTCCACACACAGCATTGACACTCTCTCTTATTCCGGAGTAACTCCTGGTGAGAGGCCCCGGGTGGGTGTGGGGATACTCACAAGCCCCTGGCTGGGTGTTGTTCAGTTGGAGTTTATCCCAGTGGATGAGAGGGTCGCCTTAATGAGACTTCGGGTCTCAGAAAGGAAAACTCTGACTGCTATCTGTGATTATGCACCAAACAGCATTTCAGAGTATTCGGCCTTCTTGGAGACATTGGGTGCAGTGCTCGACAGAGTGCCGCCTATCGACTATTACTGGGCGACTTCAATGCTCACGTGGGAAACGATGGAAATGCCTGGAGAGGCCTGATTGGAAGGAATGGCCCCCCTGATCAGAACCAGAACGGTGAGATGGTATTGGAAATCTGCACTAGTCACGGAATGTCAATAACAAACACCATGTTCGAACACAAGGATGCTCATAAGTGTACTTGTTACCAGAGCACCTTGGGCCGAAGGTTAATGATTGACTTTATAGTTGTATCATCGAACCTAAGGCCATATATTCTGGACACTCGGGTGAAGAGAGGGCCAGAACTGTCAACTGATCACCACCTGGTGGTTAGTTGGATCCGACGCTTGGGGCACCGACCAGATAGACGTGGACAGCCCAAACAAATAGTGCGGTTTTCTGGGAACGTCTGGCGGAAGACCCAGTGAAGAAAGATTTCAACTTCTACCTCTGGGACAACTTTTCCTGTACTCCCGGGGAGGTCGTGGACATTGAGGCCAAGTGGACGATGTTCAGGACCTCAATTGTGGATTCAGCTGCGAAAAGCTGTGGCCTGAAGGAAGTTGGTGCCTGTCATGGCGGCAACCCTTGGACCCGCTGGTGGACACCAGTGATGAGGGAAGCTGTCAAATTGAAGGAGTCTTCCTGAGCTATGCTCGTAAAAAATAATCTCCTGACTCAATTTAGAGGTACCGGCTTTCCAAGAGGGCGGCAGCTGTAGCAGTCACTGAAGCGAAAGCCCCGGGGGCATGGGAGGATTTTGGAGAAGCCATGGAGAGGGACTACCGGGCAGCCTCAAAGATTTCCAGGGCAAACCATACGATGCCTTACGAGGGGTTGACGGAACGTGGCCCAGGCTATTTTCAGTAAGGGTGGCATAACATTGACCTCAACTAAGGAAATAGTCGACAGGTGGAAGGAACACTTTGAGGAGCTCCTCAACCTGGTGGACATGCCCTCCTCTCAGGAGGCAGCCCTGGAAACAGCTTGGGGGGTCAGATCCATCACGTTTGCTGAAGTCGCTGCGGCAGTTGAGGGCCTTCATAACGGCAAAGCTGTTGGGGTGGACGAGATTCACCCAGACTTGTTAAAATGCGCTGGGCAGTGCAGTAGTGTTGTGGTTAACATGCCTCTTCAATATTGCATGGAAGGCAGGTACAGTAACTCTGGATTGGCAAAGTGGGGTCGTGGTTCCCAATTTTTTATAAAGGGGACCAGAAGGTGTGGTCCTCAGCATCCCAGGTAAAGCTTATGTCAGAATGTTAGAGAGGAGGCTCCGTCCAGTGGTCGAGCCTCAGATCCATGAGGAACAATGTGGATTGCATCATAGTCGTGGAACAATGGACCGGCTCTTTTCCCTGACAGATATTGGAGGGGTCATGGGAGTATGCTTCTCCAGTCTACCTCTGTTTTGTAGACTTGGAGAAATCACATGACCGTGTAACCCACAATGTCTTGTAGGAGGTGTTGCGGGAGTATGATGTACTGGTGCCACTTTTGAGCGCTATCCAGTCCCTCTATTCCCAGAGTGAGAGCTGTGTCCGTATTCTTGGTGTTAAATAAAAGTCGTTCACTGTGGGTGTTGGACTCCGCCAAGGGTGCATCCTGTCTCTACTCCTATTTCTGATTTTCAAGGACAGAATATCAAGGCACAGCCGAGGTATGGAGAGTATCCAGTATGGGGGCATGGAGGTGGCGTCGCTGCTTTTTGCAGACGACATTGTCCTCCTTGCCTCGTCAGTCTGTGATCTCAGCGTGCACTTGGACGGTTTGATGCCGAATGTGAAGCGGCTGGTATATGGCTCAGCACCTCCAAATCTGAGGTCATGGTTCACTCCCGGGAGATAGTAGATTTTTCTCTCCAGGTGAGGGGTGAACAGTTGCCCTTGGTGGAGGAGTTTAAGTACCTTGGGGTCTCTTTTGCAAGTGATGGTAGGATCGGCCGGCGGAGCGGTGCAGCATCCGCAGTATTGCAGGCACTGTACCGTTCCGTGGTAGTGAAGTGGGAGCTGAGTTCTCGAACAAAGCTCGCAGTTTACAGGTCGATCTATATTCCCACACTCACCTATGGTCATGAGCTGTGGGTAATGACCGAAAGGATGAGATCGCAGGTAAAAAGGGGCGAAATTAGATTTCTCCACAGGGTTTCCGGGCTCACTCTCCATGATCTGATGAGGAGCTCGGTAATCCGGGAGAGCCTCAGGGTCGAGCCGCTGCTCCTCCGAATCGAGAGGAGCCAGTTCAGGTAGTTCGGGCACCTGTTAAGGATGCCCTCTGGTAGACTCCGCCTGGAACTCTACCGGGCACGTCCTACTGTGCGAAGACCCCGAGGCCGGCCCAGGATATGCTGGAAGGATTATGTCACTAAGCTGGCCTGGGAACACCTGGGAATTGCCCAGGAAGAGCGAGAGTCTGTCGTCAGGGAAAGGGAAGTCTTAACCGCCCTACTCAAAATGCTGCCATTGCGACCTTCGTCAGGACAAGCGGATTTAGAAACGAACGAACGAATAACACTTTCAGAGTATTTGGCTGCAAAACATTTACACATGATGATAAGCGACTTCGTTGAGCTATCATATGTGATAGCCAGGTCACTTCTGAAAAAAATCTATATAGCTCAGTGGGCCTTACCTGCTAACAAAGAAAAAAATTATAAAATCTCATGGGAAGTTAAGCAGGAGTTAAGCCTAGTTACAGGAAGTTACGTCACTTCCACAATGTGACAGCCAGGCTAAGAGGGTCCAGCCGTGTTTCTGCAGCAGGGGGCGATTTTGCTGCTGCTACTGCTGCTGTGGTTGTGACTGATAGCAATTCCACTGTGAGTGTGAGTTTAGCTATGGGAGGAGGAAACCAGAGAACCCGGTAGAAAACCCACGCAGAACAGGGCGAGAGAATACAAAACTCCACACACAGAGAGAGAGGCACCCAGCCGCCCTACGCCCTGAGACTAAACCTGTCACCCAATCATTTATGATGGCAGTACTCAAGAAATAAAATCAGAAATGTGATTTTTTTTTTTCAAAAGTGCTTGTGGTGGCTCAGCAGTTAGCGCACGCTGCGCTACGAACCCAGCGACCCGAGGTCGATTTCTGCTCACGGCCAACACCAGTCCTAGGCCTCCCCTAGCTTGACTGAAACGCAAATGAGTACCTGGTGTAATGTGTAAACGTCTACACTCGGGAGACAAAGGCAGCCAGGCGTGGTGCAGGCCACCCACCTCCTCGTGTGCCGCGCTGGCCTTCATTAGGTGCTACTCGCAAACTGTACTTCCCCCAACAGTCTGTTAAGGCTACATGGGTAACCTTTGTCTTTGTTGTTCCAGATGAGGAGCTGGGGGGGTCGGTGACTGTGCAGCAGTTTGAGGACAAAGCGAGGGAAGGTGAGTCCAACCCAGGTGCTCAGAGGTGTGGGCTGATATTCGCTCTTGGATTTTAAACACTAAAATTATAAACTATTCTTATTTCACCAGGTAAGGCCCACTGAGCTATATAGCTCTTTTTCAGAAGTGACCTGGCGACAAATGATAGCTCAACGAAGTGGCTTACCATGAGGAAATGTATATCAGCCAAATACTCTTTACACATGATGTTGATTCTAAATGTGGAGGGGAAAACCTGGAAGATCCGGAGAAAAATCCACACGTCCAAGGCGAGAGAGAGAGACACCCAAACAGCAAATATACAGCAGGTATCAGGGTAAGGATCGAACCCACGACCTCCTGCATACTAGGCAAAGGAGTTAACATCTCATAGCCACTGCCGGCCTCTGTAAATGTACTGCAGGATGAAGGCCTCTGATTTTGCATGTGCCCCCCACCTCCCCCCACCCCCTACCCACACCAACCCCACCCCCTCCCAGTGTGTGGGGCCCCAGATTATTGGGCGGAGCACCCCTTCCTGTGCCTGGACCTCACATACATCTCCACGCTACTTGAGCACGGCTTTGGCTTCCAGCCAGACTCAACCCTCATGGTGAGCAGAGGACTCCGTGTCCCATGACCCAGCGGAACACCTGTTCAATCCCTGCTCCCTGCAGATCACCACCATTACCATCACTACCACCACCACTACCAAAGCCACCGCCAACACCACCACCCACACCATCTCCATCACCACCACCAACACCACACGCCATCACTACCACTACTACCATCAACAACACCACCACAACTGACACCACTACCAATACCATTATCACCAATGCTACCACTTCCAACACCACCACCACTACCATCATAAACACCACCACCATCATCAACACCACCACCACCACCATTACCACCATCACCACCACCACAGGTCATTAACACTAATCCAATATCCAATACCCGCCATTCGCCACTAAGTGACGGTGACGTCACCACGGCGCCTGTGCCAGGCCAGGTGCACATCAACACCATCATCATCTACACCACTACCATCATCAACACCAACACCACCACTATCACCACCACCATCACTAACTCCACCATTGTCTATAAGCTATGAAGTTTTTTGGTTATTTGTTTAAACACTGCCCCAAAGGCCCAGAACTTAAAGTGGCCAGCAACACTCTTGAAGGAGTTCTCCCTCTTTTGTATGGCATGGGGAGGGGGTGCAGTGAAGAAGGAGTGATAGAGAAGCGTTAGGGTGGTACGGTGGTAACGCTCCCTCCTCACAGCAATAAGGAACCTGGGTTCGATCCCCAACTCTGGTGCCTCTCTGTGAGTGGAGTCTATATTCTCTCCCCCTGTTATGTATGGGTTTCCTTCAGGTCTCCGATTTCCTCATCCCATAGCTAAACCCACACAGTGTAGCTGGTATCTGTGGGACATTTTTTTCATCTATTTGGTGTTTGAATATCTTAACAATTGTTTTATTTTTTTATTTAAAGCTTTCGTGACTGCAGGGATTCATATTCGTGGTTCTTTCGGTAAAGTCTCACGACGTTTCGACTGCAACACAAGCAATCATCATCAGGTGTGAAAACCACAGCAAGAAAATTTGAAAAAAGTGGCGTTTTTTTTTACGTTAGCACCACGGAGAACGATTTGGCAGTTATTCAGATGGACGAGTCCATCTACAGTGAGGGAAAAAGTACTTGATCCCCCGCCGACCTTGTACGCCAGACTACACGGGAGGATCTTGTCAATGATCTCAAGGCAGCTGGGACCATAGTCACCAAGAAAAACAATTGGTAACACACTACGCCGTGAAGGACTGAAATCCTGCAGCGCCCGCAAGGTCCCCCTGCTCAAGAAAGCACATATACATGCCCGTCTGAAGTTTGCCAATGAACATCTGAATGATTCAGAGGACAACTGGGTGAAAGTGTTGTGGTCAGATGAGACCAAAATGGAGCTCTTTGGAATCAACTCAACTCGCCGTGTTTGGAGGAGGAGGAATGCTGCCTATGACCCCAAGAACACCATCCCCAACGTCAAACATGGAGGTGGAAACATTGTGCTTTGGGGGTGTTTTTCTGCTAAGGGGACAGGACAATGTCACCGCATCAAAGGGACGATGGACGGGGCCATGTACCGTCAAATCTTGGGTGAGAACCTCCTTCCCTCAGCCAGGACATTGAAAATGGGTCGTGGATGGGTATTCCAGCATGACAATGACCCAAAACACACGGCCAAGGCAACAAAGGAGTGCCTCAAGAAGAAGCACATTAAGGTCCTGGAGTGGCCTAGCCAATCTCCAGACCTTAATCCCATAGAAAATGTGTGGAGGGAGCTGAAGGTTCGAGTTGCCAAACGTCAGCCTCGAAACCTTAATGACTTGGAGAAGATCTGCAAAGGGGAGTGGGACAAAATCCCTCCTGAGATGTGTGCAAACCTGGTGGCCAACTACAAGAAACGTCTGACCTCTGTGATTACCAACAAGGGTTTTGCCACCAAGTACGAAGTCATGTTTTGCAGAGGGGTCGAGTACTTATTTCCCTTATTGGGGTGCGGATCGGTTTGTGGCATTTTTGACATGCGTTTTTCTGAATTTTGTTGTTTTTGTTCTGTCTCTCACTGTTCGGGTGAACCTGCCATTGGAATTGTGGACTGATCATTTCTTTGTCGGTGGGCAGGCGTACAAGGTCGGCGGGGGATCAAGTACTTTTTTCCCTCACTGTAGATGGACTCGTCCATCTGAATAACTGCCAAATCGCTCTCCGTGGTGCTAACGTTAAAAAAACGCCACTTTTTTCAAATTTTCTTGCTGTGGTTTTCACACCTGATGACGATTGCTTGTGTTGCAGTCGAAACGTCATGAGAATTTTATTGTTTTATATTTTTATTATTTTATTGTTTCCCTTCTACGTGACTTTACCGAAAGAACCAAGAATATAATTGTTTTATTACCAGAAATGGTAAAACCTATTCTTTTTGTTTCATAATTTTGATACTGGCAAACAGGTCCCATAGCTATAACTGCTCAACCCAAGCTATACATGTTCTGGTACGTGCATTATCTTTGTACTGTTCAACTTTTGGCAATCTCTGATCTAACACTGGTGAGACAAGGTCATAAAGAAGGCTGTCTCTGTTGAAGGCCAATAAGTTTCAAAGACAATGCATATATTATCAGAGCATGTTTGATTGCATGTTTTGCCACAAGTACGTGTGGTTAAGGCAGACTTTTTCGATTCCAAAAGGTATCCATTTGGTGTTTGAACATCTTACACCTGTTTATTGCCAGAAAGGGTAAAACCTATTCCTATTGTTTCATTAGTGTAACAAGTATTGGCCAAAACAACCACATTGCTGAAACACCACCTGTCAATCACTCACTTGGGAACATGGGTGATGGCGCCACAGTGGCAAGATATGAACTAACTCGCCTGGTATACAGGAGGTCGTGGTTTCGATCCTGACCCTGACACCTGTATATTTGTAGCTTGCATGTCTCTCCCCATGGTCGTGTGGATTTTTCTCTGGGTCCTCTGGTTCTTCCCTACACATTTATAATCAACACCCGTTTAGAGGATTTGGCTGCTACTCTTAAATTTCCACTTAAGAGACTTCACTGCACTATAATTTGCGGCTAGTTCGCTTCTGAAAATAGGGCTCTATAGCTCAGTGGGCCTTGCCTGGTAAAAAAAAAATATATAGTTGTATAGTATATGCACAGCAGCAACTGAAGAAACATCGCCCCACTACTGCAAAAACCCTGGCAGGACCAATGGCGGAGCCACGATTTTCAGGTAGGGGGATAACCCCTCCAGCAATGACAAATGATAGGAGTTGTTAGTAAGTAAGGACTTGTCCCTTGCTTTTTATTCGACGCGTGTGCGGCGATGGTGCAGTCATCGATCGAGGATCGAATTCCAACCGCGTTGTGCGATCGGCATCGCGCTGTGCTAAAGGTGAATGCCTTCAGAGAAGTCGTGTACTGTATACGCAACTGAGCACAATTCTGTGAGTCACTTATAACTGGTTTGCCATTACTTATTGCCAATTATGGATTCAGTCTATTGTCCTATCATCTCATAGAGTCCCTGGCACGTAATAATATGCTACACACTCTTTGGTTCTTTCGGTAAAGTCACGTAGGTATAAAATCAAATAAATTAAATCATGAAGTTTCGATCGCAACACAAGCAACCGTCATCAGCTGGAACAGATACAGCAGGATAACTGCTGAAATAGGAGAAAGAGCTGCTGCAACAAGAGTTTAGATCGGATTTTGGTGGGCTCAACCCAATGGTAAGTGGGAGAGCTAGAAAAGGAATTTGTACGTAAATGTAAATGTGAGAGATAAGCATGTCAATGTGAGAAGGTCCCCAGCCACGGGAGGTGATGGGAATCCTGTGCCTAACCCTACCTACGTGACTTTACCAAAAGAACCAAAGAGTATGGATCCCTGCAGTCACGAAAACTTCAGATCTAGATTGAATATGCTACACAGTGGCAGTGGGGGTTGCAAAATGCCGATTTATTACTAATAGACCCCAATGATCCGATCGAAATAAGAAATTTCGATTAGATCATTGGGGGGGCACGTGCCACCCCACCCCCTACTGGCTCCGCCAGTGGGCAGGAACCTCTTGAAAATGAGCATCGACACTTGGTAAATGAGGCGCGTTTCCTCACCGAGTGTGGGTACGAAAGCTGCACTGGACAAGTACGACTCCTGCTGGGCCACTCCGTGCACCGGCCCCAGGAGCTGGGGTCGCACTCCTACGCCTTCTCATACTACTACGACCGGGCTGTCGACAGCAGCCTAGTCAGTGTGTGGGCCTGCCACGGGAATGTGGCGTTGCCGCCAGCTGAAAACCCCCCGCATGGCCATTGGGAGACGTTGGCACTTCTAAATAAACTAAACAATTTTTTCTTTTCCCAGATAAGGCTACGGAGCTATGTAGCTCTTTTTCAGAAGCGACCTGGGCACAAATAATAGCTCAACGAAGTGGCTTATAGACGTGTGGAAATATATAGCAGCCAAAATACGAGAACATCATGTTTTTGTGGAGGGAAAAACTGGATGACCCGGAGAAAATCCACGTGACAACGGGGAGAGAGACATGTAAACCCCAAATATACAGCAGGCGTTAGGGTTAGGATCGAATGCACAACCTCCTGCATACCAGATGAGGGAGTTAACAGCTCGCTCACCATGTCTCCGCAGCTGTCGAAGAAGGTGGGCGGCGTGGAGACGGGCTGGGCGCTGGGAGCCGCCTTCCGTGACCTTGCTGAGATGCAGGGCGAGCAGTGAGCCTGAAGCAGGCTCCCATGGTCAGCACCCGGCCCACTACTTCACTTTACCCGGTCCCGCAGATGATGCGGGGGGTAGGGGGATGGTGGACATGCAGACACGGCCCCAGCGGCGACGCATTTGGCACTCATTGTTGTGGAGGTTCGCGGTTCGAAGCCGCCGGGCAGTCCTGGTTAACATTGCGGTGTGTGTATGTGTGTATGTAATGTTGAGCTTATCTGTACCGTAACTGGATGGAGCACGGGCAATAAGTGCGTGCCTGTTACTATCTCAGTATGTCACCAATGTAATGTTTGTAGACGCCTTCATTTCATGTCCTTGCCTTCCATACTCCAGGTAACTTATTTCACGTATGTGTATAAAGATATTTAGGCGAGGCAGTTATCACATCTGCCTCACTGAGGGGGACGTGTCTAACACGCCCCCTCAGTGAGGCCACGCCCCCCTCCGTGAGGCTACACCCCCCTCAGCATGTGAATCTAGCTCTGACACTAGCCAGTGCCTCCCCAGCCATTGACCTCACCGCACGTCACTGGTGCACTCAACTCTCCGTCATTCTATTGCTGCTCTAAGAGGGATTCTGATCGTTGTTGTGAAGCTGCCCCACCCCCTGTTGACCCCACCCACCCCTTCTGGCCCAGTCCACTCCTACTGACCCCGCCCACCCTCGCTGCTGAGTGCACACTCCCCTCCCATCCCCAGCCCACCTACCAAAGCCAGCACCCACTCTGTGTGTCTGGAGGAAGGGTGGGGCCTAAATATAAAGAAGCGAGGCCTAAAGAGGAAAGGGGTAGGACATAAAAAGGAAAGGTGCGAAAGAGGAAGCGAGACAATGGGGGCCTCATCGGGAAGGGGTGGAGCCTAATTGTAAAGGGGTGGGGCCTAAAGAGGAAGGCGATTATAATATAATTGTCACGATCGGGAATGTGGCTAGTCTGACATATCACAAGAGTTTTGAGTCGTCATCAGCGGCATCAATTGGCGTCATTTTCGCCCTTGTCACCTAAGAAGACGAACGATAAATCCACTTCTTTACTGAGGGCAAATGTTTACGTAGGGAATTGCCGTGAGTGTGCATGACCGGTCTGTGAATTGTCAATTCGTTATTCAGGACCTCGGAAATTATCTTTTATACACAACCGTGACAAAATGTGACTTTTTTAATCGGTGTCAATCCTTTCTAAACTTGAAAAGTGTAAGTTAGTGCTTAAATGAAGATTCCAGTGCTGCTATGAATGAAGGTTTCGGTTAAGCGGACCTGTGGTGGTGCTGGCGGCTATGCATGTGGCTGCCTGTAATTCATTCCTATTGAGGCAGCAGCGAGGGTTGGTGGATCACCGCACAGATGGGTTGTGGAACTCCCTACTACCTGTGGGTGGGCGAATCTCCATTTGTTCTAACTCCCCGTGGTCGTCGAGGAGGAGCTGTACCGGGCTCACCAGGAGAAGGTGGTGCAGCACCTGTTCCATCTGTATGGGATAGAGTGTTTCCTCCTCACTCACATGGGTATTCCCCGGGTCCTCCGTTCTCTTCCCATATTTTAGCATTCGTTAATTGGCCGATGACAACTTCATAAACAGAGGACGGCAGAGCTTGGGCAATTGTGAAGCACCAGCTGACAGCGTGGTTTCTGCCTTCCCACACCTCATCTGTGGCTCCCCCATTTCATGCCTCCGAGTTGTCCGCTCTCTACGACAGCGATGAGCTGCACAGCGTTACAAGTTGCAATGATTATGATTATTATGATTCGTAAGTGGCGATTTTCGTAAGCGAATAGTTGACGAACAGCATCTTGGTGAAATTATTGATGGTGAATTAAATAAAAAATAGTTTCCGTGCTGCCTGAGACATTAAACGGATGTTGTTGGCGCCCACGTCGTGATTATTACTCTCCTCAGGTGTGTGAGCGACAATCTTTTGCCCAGGATGCCAGACTGTCAATCGGTCGGACGTGCCATCGTAGCGCTGTGGTGTCATACTGAAATGTTGGTGTGTCATCTACACAATAATGATCGACTATGATCATTATTACGTAGATGTGGCGAGATGTTAACTACCTCACCTGGTATACAGGAGGTTGTGGGTCCCATCCTGACCCTGACGCCTGTATATTTGGAGTTTGCATGCTCTCCCCATGGTCGTATGGATTTTTCTCCAAGTCCTCCGGTTTTTCCCTCCACATTTAGAATAATCCGTTGAGAATATTTGGCTGCAATAAATTTCTACCTGATAAGCCACTTCATTGGGCTATCATTTGTGGCCAGGTCGCTTCTGAAAAAGAGCTACATAGCTCAGTGGGCCTTCCCTGGTAAAATAAAAAATTGTTTAGTTTAGAGTACAATTGGCATTGGCGCTGTCGTTCTTATAGCATAGGGCTATTGCATAGGAAGGTTCTGCTGTGTTTCATAGCTATAGTATGCAGTAGTTGGGGGGATGCTGCTGCTGCTGTGTGATTTGGCTTAGAGGCACCCCCAGTGGCAGCTGTCCCGGTATGGCACAAGACTATCATCACGTAGTACGCAGGAGTTTCACAGGAGGGGGCGATGCAGCTGCTATGTGGTCTAGCCTAAAGCAGGGTTCGGCAACAAAAATAACAAGAATATTTTAAGAGCCGCAATGGATGTGAATTCGAGACGGTTGTCCTTAAAGATCCGCATGTGTCTCCGGAGCCGCAAGCTGCCGACCCCTGGCCTAGGGACACCTCCAGTGGAAACTGCACCTTCCTGTGTGGCACAAGGCGATCACCACCGTAGCAAGTTCACATACAGTGTTTCACAGTAAGGGGCATTGCTACTGTTTTGTATGTGTGATCTCAATTGGCTTTTGGACCGTAACACCGGCACACAATGGGTTATTTGTTTGCGAGGAGATATCTAGCGTCCGCCACGAAGTATTAACCAGGGCGTCCTATTAGTGTCGAACCACGAACCGTTGTGTCTCCAGCATCCGACACGATGAATGGACGGCTTGAAGGAGCAATAGAGAGAGTATCCGTGCATCGATTGTCTGAGTTGTCGATTATATTGTTCTTGCGTAACACACGCACACATTGTGTTCACGCTGGTGCCAGGCACCGCAGTAGCGAGATGTTATCTCCCTCGCCTGGTATACTGGAGGTCGTGGGTTTGATCCCGACCCTGCCCACTCTATATTTCGAGTTTGCGTGTCTCTCTCTCCCCGTGGTCACGTGGATATCTCTCCGAGTCCTCCGGTTTTCCCCTCCACTTTTAGAATTAACGTCACGCGTTGAGAATATTTGGCTGCTATACATTTCCACACGATAATCCACTTTATATTTTTTGGGTCTTTCGGTAAAGTCACGTAGATAGGTTCAAAGAAAATAACAACACTACGACGTTTCGATCGCAACAAAAGGGGTCGTCATCAGGAAAGAGGGTTAGTTTCAAAAGGCAAACTGTTTATAAAGGTTTACAATGGGCGTAGCCCAAATGTCAGCAACATGGGCGGGGCAGCTAATGTTAATGTAAGTGATGGGCGGCGACCGCGATGGTGGTGCGTTTCCACCAATAAAGTGCTGCCAGGTAAAAATTAGCATGTTAATGTAAGATCGGTGAGTGGTCTCCACGGTGAGTGCGATGAGGTGGCTATGTGAATGTGAGAGATTAGCATGTTTAATGTGAGATCGTAGAACCGCCACCACGAGGTCGGCGCGCGAAGGTGGCTGTGTTGGTGTGAGAAATTTAACCTGTTAATGTAGAATCGGAGAACCGAAAATAACAACTAACATCGGAAGGTGGCAGGATGGGAACATCACAGCCAGTTATGACTTAAACTGGTTGATAACATCCTTCCAGTGATTGCTAAGTTTGTACCCATCTCGGTTGAAATTGTCTATATATGGATGGTTTCATGAACGAATCTTTGTTGATAACCAGTGGGTTTGCAAAGTACCTTCGTCTTAGAGAAATCAATTTCGTGTGAGCCCACCGCATTAAAACAATAATCAGCCACGGCCGAGGTATTGGTCTTACCGTGTTTGAGATCTGCCTTGTGTTCACGAACACGGTCCGAGACATGTTGCTGAGCTTCCCCAATGTAACTACTGCCGCAGACACAACTTAGTTTGTAGACGCGGGGTATTGTATGTCAGGGATCACATCCTTCACAGATGGGATCAGATCACGAATTTTATGTACTGTGTTAAATCGAACCTGGATCTTGTGTTTGCTCATGATTTTGGAAATATTTTTGGTTACCTCTGCTATGTATGGCAAGGTGATGGTTTTGATTGGGTCCTCAGATGGTTATTTTCCCAACGGTTGGGGTAATAGCTTTACAGATTGTGTAGTCTGAATATCTATTCATCTTGAGAGCTTGGTGTACGTGTTCCAGTTCACTAACATTAGCTGCCCCGCCCATGCTGCTAACATTTGGGCTACGCCCATTTTAAACCTGTATAAACATATCCTTGGGTCTTTCGGTAAAGTCACGTAGGTAGGTTCAAAGAAAATAACAGTTTGCCTTTAGAAACTAAACCCCTTTCCTGATGACCTCTTGTGTAGCGATCGTAACATAGTTTTTTGTTATTTTCTTTGAACCTATCTGTGTGACTTTACCAAAAGACCAAAAGAATATGAATTCCTGCAGTCACGAAAGCTTTAAGTGAAGATATAATCCACTTTGTTGAGCTATAATTTGTAGACAGGTCGTTTCTAAAAAGAGATGTATAGCTCCGTGGGCCTACCTGGTAAAATAAAAAAATAGTTTGTTTCTTATCAGCTTACAACACGCCATGGGTGGCTCTGATGAGAATCACATTTCAAAAAATAATTCCCAATGACCCAGTTTTGTAAATAGGCGTGTGAATAGTTACACTATTCGTAGCTATTAACAGACAACCCCTTCAATTGTCTACCCTTCAATAGCTGACAAATAATGTATCTGGCCACACTGAATATTGCATGGAGAGAGATGCAGTTATATTGTGTATTTTGAACTTATTTCGCACAGTACGTAGCCAACCGTGCTAATGTGAGGTGCGTGGGAAGGACAACTAAACACAAAAATCAGTTTTTAAAAATCAGTTTTCAATCAAGATCTAATGTGGAGGTCTGCTGCTGCTCGCCACGACGAGGGAGAGAGTGTTCGTGTCGTTTTGCTGTTCCTCCTCCCAGTCGCCCCCCCCCCCACCACTCCGGTGAAGGAGCGCAGACCACAGTGGGTTTACTGTGCAGTCCATAGTGTGGGTTACATGGCCAGAGTCTTAGTACTGTGGCTTGAGAATTAAACTCGGGTCCCCGAGTGCGTAGCGCAGCGCACTAACAGCTACACTACCCGC